ACAAACAGCAACAGTATCAGCAACAAACTCTTTCTACCGTACTTAAGGCAAGAAAAAGGAGAAAGGTGAAAGATGTATTTTGGCATAAGCATATAGTAACACCAGTCATGGCAGGGTATTCTTGGCAATTTCATTATCAAAGAGCTCTTTCTTCAATATGCTAATTTAGCAAGGACAGAAACCATGTCAACAGGATTAGGACCTTCATGATAATAGGTTTATAGTTGAAGTATATAGCTGCTGAATATAATGTCTTGGACAATGAGATCGCTCCCTATTTGTAGATATATGTGCAAAGTGACCGATGTCCTTCAAATAAGGCCTGGCCTATAATGCTTTACCAAACATTACCTTTCATTAGTAACAAGAAATTCCAGAAAGAAAATTACACAGAGCAACAAACTTCTAAATCTCTTACAACTGAACCACCTTGTGTACCGCTGATGTATTCACATACCTGTCAGCTGGCTTGCGGCTGGAAAATTTGGCTTTTGCAAGTCATTTCCAGCAAATGCCTGCAAAAGAGCAGAAAACTAGATTTTGTAAACCAGCAGAAACAGCTGTACATTGAATGTCAAAACTAGCATATGTTTCCTGAGAAAGAAAGCCAGAAATATGTAAAACAAACCTCTTCATTCTTCACTTGGGACGCATGCGAAACCATGCCAATGGGGATTGAAGCTGTCACACAATGAGAAAAGGGGCTATGATGAGCACGTGGCTTGTCAGATCTCAATAAATCAGATTCTTCTGCAATTCCAGAAGGCTGACTATTTAAATGTGCCCTGCTGTTCTCTTCTTCAACTAACCAACCCCCTTGCAGCTGTACTGGGGACAACAATTGTGTGGGTATTCTTGATAGGAGAGGAGGTTGGCCAGCATTCTGATTCCTTAAATCTAAACTAGGCTTTCCTGTTTGGAGTCTTCCAGCATCAGAAGAGTGGCTATCCCGTCTCACAGGAGCTCCAAGCAAACTAGGTTCTAAAACATCGTTGAAGACAAACTATGAGAATAAAGTTCAAGACATATATATTAACACAAAAACCAAGAACACCAAATTAAGAAAATGGCAAAACTTTATATCAAGATAAAGCCCATACTATTAGAAGGCGGAAGTACTGTTGCAGATGTGGATGCCATGACACTTGGAACTGCAACAGGTACCTGAGATGCTTCAGATCTCAATTCAGAACTATTATTTATTGAATGCACTGAAGAGTCTGCAACAGGCTTCTCTTCCTGAAAAATATAAGCAATTATCAAGTGAAGAATACGTGTCAAGTTCTTATGCAATTAATAGTATGTTGTTTAACAAAAGGCTTTAGCCCAATTAGTTGAGAACCTTGAGATACTAATTCTTCAAAAACCAATTAAGTCTTCAAATCCCCTTCCACCCAATAATTATTTTTTTCTACTTACTGGTTGGTTTAGTCTCCTTCCAACTTCAGCTCCACTTATTCCTTCACTGATGGGAACATTAGTATTGCCATTCGGTACAAACACAGCATCCTGCAATCAATAGCAGGTTACCAAACACTCTTGAAAAATCCTGATTAATAACCAGAAGTCACATATCTCTGTTACATTACCTCTGTCAACAAATAATTGCTCACATCAGGAGCATCAGGTAAATGTACCACTTCATCTTCATAGAAGACATCATTTACTCTCCGAATTAAATTCTCATCAAACTCTCTAGAGAAGAAATTGCATATAATGAAGTGATATCAGAAACTAATTTTTAGAATAAATATTTATATAAAAAAAAATTTATAAGTTAACATTTCTCACTTGAAAAAGTAACCTCTGACATTGCATGCAACATTTCTTGCTACACAGAGGACTGGAACAGCATTTGCTGTCTGATAATGAGGGGGAAAACAATATCAAGAAACTAGCCAACTTAGAAAAGAAAATAAAAGAATATTTCTTACTAAATGGGATTATTTTCTACCTCTGCCTGTGGAGCATAATATGGAGTGAATGGAGGAACAACATGAACACGGGGTTGGTCCTTATCTTCCCAAACCTTTGAACGATCATCAATTACCATTGCCATCTTTGGATGGCAGATTCCATCTTGGAAGACGTTGAGCAAAGATTTTCTCAAGCCTGTAGATTGGGAACAACTAAATGAATTAAACAATTTTTTGTATAAGGTAAAGCCAAGTCCTTACTACGAGCATCAACAAAATAATATTCTACAAAGACAATAGCACACTTAATTAGCCAACCACAGAAGAAGTATAATTAATTAAACCATTTTTCCAAACAGAACAAACAAAAGAGAAAGGAAAAACGCCAAAAAAGTTGGGCACAAGAAAATATAGAGGGTGTTCAGTTTGTTTTTTTTTTAGTCAAAAGTGCTCAAGGCTTATTTTGTCTAAAAAAGGGCTACGAAGTGTTTATCAAGGCACAAGAAGTGCTGAAAGCTCAAAAGCTTTTAACTCAATGAAAGAAGCTCCTAATACCAAGGAGCTTTTGGCAGGTAGCTTTAATTCCAGTTAAACATATTTTCCTACGAATATACTTCTCGCCGAAACTAAATTCTAACTCTCACCCAATAAAAGTTTGGATCTCCTTATGCCTACCTCTTCTTCAATATATCTCTTCCTGATGTTCCTTCCAATCTTACCATCTATTGCATCTCCTCTCCCAACAAAAAATTTTATTATTTACGACATACTAATGTTTTTGAAGATGTTATACATTTCATTGGATGTTGTTATGTAATTATTAAAAATTCATGAAGAAATTACCTTTTGTTTGATATTAATAATTATCTCTTTTAGAATAAGAATAATTACTTTATACAAAGTTTAACTAATTTCTGAACAGTAAAATTTAACAGTAAGAAAACTAAAATTCTTAAGTTGATAAATTTATTTGAATTTATTTTTAAATATTCAAGGAGCAAAAACACAGAATTTTTTTAATTATACGAACAACTAGTTTTCATTTTTTGTTATTCAAATAATTTTACTAAACACTTCACATATTTTCAAATCTACAAGTCTGAAAAATAAGTCAAACAATCCAAACAATCAAAGACCTTAAAGCACAATGACTTAAAGCCAGTTAAGACTGAAAGCTATATGAACTTATATCACCAAACAAAAAAAAAAAGCCAATTAACGTATTCATACTTTGTAAAATTAATTGCATGATGACTATGTAGTTACTAGTCCCAGTAAGATGATTCATCAAAGCTATGGAGCACTTGCCTGATTTAACACAGATAACACGATCCAACAGTTGCTTTGAACCTATTAGGTGCGCCTCTGGATCAAGAAGCCGCCACATTTCTAATGCATAATCCCTTTCTGCCATGGTGCAAACATAAACCTCAAATCTTTTCCGACCTTTTGCAGTTAAATAACTTCTCAAATCTTCCCATGCTGGTCGTAATCTTACAAGCACACTGGTATCACGAATCTGCATAAGAAATAGAGAGAGTAAATTTGTGGGAAAGAAATTCCAGTTCACTGTGGATGTAGGTAGATGAAAAACTTATCCACAAATTTTGTGTCCTATTGAAGAATATCAGTTCAGCATATTCTACACAACACATTAAACAGATTAAACACTGTAGACTTGTTCCTCACTAGCCTTTATTAGACCAGCAATATCCTAAGGTTTGCACATCTAGAATCAACGTCTAGAATCAATATCTACATCAGTAATTCCATGTTAGACAAACGTATTCATTTGTTAATAACGTACAAATGTAAATATCATTTATCGACGAGAACTAGCTTGTCTGAGAGTCACAAGAAATCACCTGTGAGACTATCCATGACCTAAACAGCACATTATCCTTTAGTTAACAGTAGTATGTGACAACCAAGACGGTCCATTAAAAACTTAATAGGAATTAACTCATAATCAACAAAAAACAATACTAAAAAATTTTTAGAACAGGACATTGTTATCAAAAGATATTAATAAATTAACACCACATTCACCAAAAAATGTACAAATACCACAAAACCCAACTAATTCATTAGCATCAGACGCCATTGTCCTAAATACAGAGCTAGTAGAGTAAACTAATGAGAAAAGACATTAACATAAGTTATGCCATGCCAATGTAACCAACAGGCAACGACTTCATCAACAATGTGCAAAATATCTTAAACTTCCAAGATTTTAAAATTGTCCTCTCTCTCACATATCCAGAAGGTTTTTTTTTTTTTTTTAATAAAAAGAATGTAGATATAAAATCAAAAGACATCAAGAGAGTGTCATCCATATACAAGATATTTACAGCATGGTGTATCAATAATATTCCCAAAATCCTCTAACCTATAAATGTCATGACCCAAGATCAGAGAACCAAAAACATGTATCCATCTATCCCTAATTCTAGCCATATCCCCAGAAGGACATACTATGTCTCTTATTAAAAACTCCACCTGCTATAACAATAATCTTGATAAAAGGGACAAACAAACATATCATAGCTCTAGCCTAAACAAAGTGAACTTCTAGCCTAAGAAAAAAGAATCAGTATTCTTTGTAGAAATTTCAAAACACCCAACTGTTTTCCAAAAGGGTGGAATCAATTTACTCCAAACATTAGCATCATCAAGGCATATTTTGCAGAACAAACTAATTATGTATCAATCTATGTATCAAGTTATCAATCAGCATAATCCAGTCATAAAAGAACATTTCAGCAAATAAGTAGGTAAGCAAATGTCCTAACCTCTGGATTGATGCGAGTGAGAACAATATTCCTCTCTTGCAACCTAATTACTGGACGGACAAGTTTCTCATGGCTATTGAATAGTGTAGGAACCTCCTCTGCTTGAGCCTTGAACATCTTACCATTATCCAAGACAAAATCGCTCTCAGCATATTGCTTCAACAGCATCCGGTCATCCATATACCTCTTCATTTCAGCTTGCATTCCATTTATCCTAACTGAATCAGTCTCCCGAGAAATCCAAGCTTTGAGAGCATCAATTCGGTCCTCGAATGATTTCATTGTGTTTGCAACAATAAGAGTTTCATCAAGATCAAACACAATAGCTAGACATCGCATATTTAGCATCCTTAAGCAGGATTCGTAGAGACTTGTAGGAACGGAAAAGCACCAAAAACACGGAAATTTTTTTTGCTTACTTGGCATTGCAACCAAGTGAATCTCCTCATTTCCAAGCAATACCACCGCAGTCTGCATTACAAAATCCAAAGTCGATCACATTATGGAATTTTACTTTAATCACTACATAATCAAGCCAGTCAACTGCTGGATTTGGCAATTGAACGAAGCAGTTTAATGCTCTAATCAAAATAATAATTATGTCACGATCATCCGCAAATAAAGCTTTTATCTCAGAAAAAAAAAAAAATCCGCAAATAAAGCAAGAAAGAAATAGCTGAGAATTCGAGAAGAAAAAACATAGGAATATCATGTCGATACGACTAGCTGAGACCTTCAACTCGTGGAAGCAGGAAGCGTGAAGTTTCGTCAAAAAAAACTGGTCAACTGGAGACGAAGATTCGAGCTTGCAGCACACCGAAAACGAAGAAATTGTTTGAAGAACCGATAGCGGAGGACATCGTTCGCTAAGCGTCGAAAAGTGATGAATTCGTATCTCGTTGTTTGGAAACTGAAAATTCTGGTCCTTAACCGGAACAGTGTCCAGTTCTCCCAAAAGAGTCTCCGCCTGATAAACCATAGATTTAAACCCTAAACGACTCATTGAATCAAGTAAGAAGAAGAATAGCCAAGGAAACAGTTAACAACAAAAGCAAACACGCAAATGTATGAAACTAGAGGATAATTGCAAAATCCGGAGGCTGAATATCCTTCTCTATTCCCTCTCTTTGTTGCTTCCCATTTCCTTACACATTTGGACTCTCTGTCCCCCCTCCCCCTACGGTTTCAATTGCTTCAAACGAGGGACTCGAGTGAGTGCCGCTATTTATAGGAAGTTACTGAAATTTTAGTGCTGGGATTGTACAAATTTACGAAAATACCAGTTGTGGACCCCACAAGCCTCACGCCTTAGTTCAGCGAAATTGCTATGATCAAGCATCCAGCAAAGGATGATGGAAAGACACATCGTATACGTGGCACATGTTAAAGGTGGCGATATTTGAAGGAAACGCATCTCAACCGTCCGATACTTTAGTTTCTTCTTCCCACCAATTAAGTTTTTTTTTTATTTTTTTATTTTTTTATATATATACCTGGATTAGATTTCGGGGTCACACTTAATCTTGTATTAAATAAAAAATTTGTATTACATATTTATAATAATGTAAAATTGAAGAAAATAAATAATGAGAATGAAATATGGGGAAAAACTTAAAATAGAATTAGAAACTAAGAAAAAATTCTCCAAGAAAAGCTAAAAATACACCAAAGAGGAAAAAAGAAACCTGAAATGAATTTTTTTAGTTTTATTTTTTAAATTTGTATATTTATATATATATAATCAAATTAATACTTACCCTTATTGGTCTGCGAAGATATAAACCACTTAAGTAGAGGTAATTGCATTAATCCATCAAATAGTACTTAATTTATGTTTTAGATTATCAGATTTTGAAGAAAAAAATTTATATAACTTTTATCGAAGCCCATAAAATATCACTATAATCTTAATAAAAAAATATGGTTGAAGACTTTAAAAATTTATGTAAGTTAATTGGAAGATAGTACGATCATTTAATAAGATATTTCGTACGATTATTTATTTTATGAAAGATTGGTTATTTGAATCTCCGTAGAAGTTCTTGGCTGAAGCTGAAAAAAAAAAAAGATTATTAGAGAGCAGTTACAAAATTTATTCCACAAGAGGTGCTATCTTAAAAAATAATATTGAAAGGGGAAAGATGAGGAGAAGAAGAAGAAGAAACAGACATTTTTGTGATCAAGAGACCTAAGCCTGGAAAGCTGACTGACCCCTCTGAATTAATTGTGAATATGCAAATAAATTTTAACAAAAAAATTATAGAGATGTTCTGAACATAGAGCCCAAGAAATATGATGCTATTAACTAGAAACTTTCTATTTCATACATTTGAATGGGCCACCAAGTGTGTATACATCTGCAGTAGGAGGCATTTACTGTTTTATTTCCAACCCGAAATGAATATTTGCATTCATTGCAAAACAACTTATACAAGAAAATAGCAGAGCATGTAGGAGTAAGAGAAAACAGAACAATGCAGAGAATTTACAAGATCAGCAAAAATGGTCAACAATTGGCTGTAAGTAGATGCATCACCTCGGAAGCATCTGTGTTATACTCTGAGAACCTGAAAGCTGGATTGAGCTTACAGGAGGCTCAACCGATTGCTTGCCTTTGTTTTTCTGAGAAGATGATGTCTCATCTGAACTACCACCACCTAAGTGCTTCGAGGAGTGCCCACGATATATACCCGGCTCAGTCAGCAGCTTCTCGTTAAGGGTGACCTCTCGAGAAAGCATCTCCAGGACTTGCTTCATGGTCGGTCTTTGCTGTGCAGCTGCCTGGGTGCAAAAGAGTGCAACCTTGATGAATCGTAAAATCTCATTCTTGGGGTATTTGGTTAGTTCTGGATCTACAAGATCCAGGAGCCTGCCCTCTTCCCTAAGCTTCCATGCCTGTAAAAAGCATCTAATATTAGTTGAAATACGATCTTCATCTGGTGGATATTAAGGTAACTGATACATGATGCAAGATTTTTGGAGGTTTAGAAAGATACCCATTCGACAAGAACCAGTAAATCCTCTCCAAACGCTGCCTTGCTACTGCTACTGCCACTAACTATTTCAAGCAAGAGCACCCCAAAACTGTATACATCTGCCTTTTTTGTGAGCTGTCCTAACAGGGCGTACTCTGGGGCTAGATATCCCCTGCATGCATATATAAGACTACCATTACAATGCATACTTGAAATAGAACACAACACAGTTGCTTATTGAGCACATCGTTAGCAGCCCAGGAAAGGATCTGTTTATTGCGTACTCAGCATAACATCATAACCAGATATATCGTTTGCGTATAATACCACTCTCTGCTAAAAAATACCGATTCTGAGAAATAGGTTTAAGGAACAAGGTCCTAGATAATACTTTGTGAACTGTAAATCTTTTGAAGTCCTAATTTCGTATGGTTTTTTAAAATCTCTCAACGTATAATAGATCAAGAACAGACAGCAAAGACAAAGAAGAAAAAAAAAATTCGTACTTACACTGTTCCTGCCACTCGAGTACTAACATGAGTTACGTTGTCTGGAAAAAGCTTTGCCAGCCCAAAATCTCCTATCTTGGGACAAAAGTTTACGTCAAGGAGTATATTACTAGCTTTAATATCTCTGTGAACGATATGAGGTTCAACTTCCTCATGAAGGAATGCAAGACCAGTAGCTGTACCCAAGCAAATAGCAGATCTCTTAGGCCAATCGAGAAAAACATGCTTGCTTTTTGAACCTGAAACAGGTGAATTCAAGGGCGTTAGCATTTTGACACATTGGAAAGTCGTGTCTATAAACTTGATATATGACAGTGATCACCAATCAGAGTATCGGACAAGCAAAACTTCCAGTTGTTATAAAAGCCAATAATATCAACAATGAGTGTTGACAACCTGGGCTCCCATTAACAACCCGCTCGACTTACACAAATCCCTATCCATAAAAAAAAGTGAGTATAACCAATTGACACAGCTGCCAAATCTCTCCCACGTTAAACACCCCATCCTATCCATATGATGAAAGGAAAGAAATAGAAATTAACATAAATGTGATAGTGCAAATAGAAATTAACACAAATGTGACAGTGCTATGTGCACCAGATGAGAGCTTACATGCAAAAATACATCTGCAACCGCCTATACAGGGCTAATAGGATTAGAAGAAGATAGGAGCTCATACTCAACAAACATCTAAAGAAGACGGGGAGTAAGAAAAAGGCAGTTTTTCCTAGTACACCTTATTGATACTACAAACTCTTTCTATTCCACGAGCAGACACCTCTGGGGAGAATCTTCCTTTCACTGCTTGCTCTTTAACCTGCCTCAAGAAGGGAGATTACTATAAGATTATTAGTGTATGTAGGATTGGTCTCTCGAATTTGAGTAGGTCTAGTTCTTCCCTAAGGCTAGAGCATTAGCTTCTTCAAACATGGTGAGAAAGAATCATAAATCATATAGTTAACGGTTAAAAGAAGAAAAGAAAAACACAAACAATTGAAAAAAATGGCTCAACTAATAAGACCAGGAAATTTTGTTGCGATTCAGAATACTTTATCCTTCTGAAGTTCATAATAATTTATATAAAATGAATGCAGCTTAAACATTCTTGTGGGTTTACCAAGTAAAGCATTTCCAAGGCTGTTGTTCTCCAGATATTCGTATATTAAAATCCGATTATTTCCCTCAACGCAACAGCCTATGAGTTCAACAAGGTTTGGATGCCGAATATTTGATATCATGTTGATTTCTGTCAAGAATTCTCGTGTTCCTTGTTTAGATTCTGCAGAAAGAGACTTGATTGCTACTTGAGTTCCATTCTTTAAAACTCCCTGCGAATATAAATGTGATTACTAGCTAAGAAAATACTCAATGAGGATCTATCTAACTTCGCTGCAGCTATGATACAGAAAATTAAATGAACAATGGCTATCCAGCTCACCTTGTAGACAACTCCATAACCACCTCCACCAATTCTGTTGGATGGATGGAAGTTCCCTGTTGCTGATCTTAATGAACTATAAGAAAAGAGCCTCACATTGTTGGTAGCAATTTCTGAAAATGCAAAAACACCAAATACACAGGCATGTGAGAACTTTCTCAAGTTGTATGATATCCTAACATGATGTGCTGAAAGAGTAAATTAGGAGTGATGAAAAATACGGGCAAAAGATCATGGATATAATAAATGCCTAAGGTAGGCATACCCGACTACCAAACTGAAAAGATTATGGCAGCATATATTTGACTGCTTTTGCGGTTAACTCGGTAATCAATCATTCACAGTCAGACAGAAGTGATTTCTATGAGATCACTCCAGTATTCAAGAAAGGAGATTTTTGAGAAACGGGGTTTATAAGAACTTTGACATAAAAATGGGACTCTGAGAAGCAATATGTGGACAAGAACATGTCATAAGCATCATGGCCCCATCAAATAGGAAGGCAAAAAGAAGAAACCCATTATAGAACATGATCAAGAATTATTGGATTTTTTCATACAAATCATAAGGAAGAAGTCCTTCAAATAATCCTCCTCCATTAGTCAACACTGTCCCTGGAAGCCAATCCTGTTAATTTAATAACAAACTGAAGCCAATTAAGGTCCATTTTCCACTTAATTCTCACCATGAGAACCTTTGCTTAGAGGACCTCAAGCATCCCATAAACAAAAGAAGGCTAAATACCATTTTTTATTTCATGGAAAAAAACGAAGCTATCATTTGAAGAAATCATCAAGACAGAGAACTCCATAACGTTAAGTAAAGAGCTCAGCCAAAAACCATCATTACTCATGCTTCGTTTTGCTGAAGATATCATTAAAAATTATGCCCTTTGTATCAGAGTAAAACAATGAACAACACTGATGATAGGCGTGAACCCAAAAAAAAAGGAAGAAAACCATCACCTTGTGCTTGTCTCTGACGGCCACCATTCTGTCCCCTGCACCAATCAAACCCACCAAAGCAGCATAAATTCATTGCAGCACAAGAACTTGAGTGTCCGTAGCTGATGAACTTCACCATTCAAGAACCATATCTCTTCTCCAAACTTGAAAAAACAAAGAACCAATTAAGATAAGACGCTAACGGTGAAAATCATACAAGGTCACAGCTGAATTTGAAAGCCACAGCCCATCGTCGAGCTGCCCTGAAACGCCGGGAACCGAAACGGTGGCGTTTACAAGTGTGAAAATATTGCTGGTTCTTGAAGGCAGAAAAACAAAAGTGGGTTTGGAAAGAAAAGAAATTAGGAGACGTAAGTGGAAAAGAATGAGATCCATTAACGAAGAAGTAATATAATGGAGTGGAGTAATACTAAGAATGAAAAATCTTTTTCTTTCGTGAATTTGATAATTAGAAGACAGAGAATAGGAAGAAGTGAAAACGACACCGTTGTTGGTCCTTTAATTACGTCAGCGAAGACACGACAACGAAACGACTTTTGGTATCCTCGTGGGAGGAGTTGTATTTGTAAATGGTGGCTGGTGAGAAGGTGGGGTAGACTTTTTCTAACCTAAATTTTGGAAATAAAATTATGTAGTTTCTATTTTTAATAGTTTTTAATTATAAATTATCATTTAATACCCAGAAAAATAAATTTTAATTACTTAACAAATGTACATATATATATTTGATTTATAAATATAAATTCTTTTAAGTTCACTGAAATCATATTATTTAAATTCTCATCATGTCTGTCAATATTATTATCAAAATATAATATACAATATTCTCAATAATTTTTTAAATAAATAAATATTTATATATATATATATATCAAGTGCTATACTCTGTGACACAAAGAAAAAACAGGTAAAAGATGAAAAGAATCACTTTCTCCCTCTCTCAACCGATTTCATGTACGGCTTACTCCCGTATTAAATGCTGATTTTTTTTAGTGGCATTAAATGCTGATTTTTGTATGTGGTTAACACTTTTGTTTTTATATATAAACACAAGTTGACGATAATAATAATTGAAAACGACCTTTGCAAAAAAAAATATATAAATTATTCAGATTAAAAATAAATTTAACTGTATCGATTAATATTGACAGTATATTTTATAATAAAATGGGTAAATACATTAATTAAGATTAAACTCTGAAATACATATATATTATACCATTTTGTTAAATTATGGTCGTTGTTCTTTAAATTTTTAGAGATCATCCAAATTTACCTAAAAAATTTAACTTCAATCAAGATATTTTCTATTCTCAATTTTAACAGTTCGTCTTCGTTCGTACAGAGATTAACTCCAAACTATAAATTGTTTAGAATCTATATCTTTTTGAGATTCTCTTTATTAACTAGTTATAAACAGAAAAAAGATTGTCTTCTTTTCGATGATTAGGTTCCATGATAAGGGATATGATGTGTGAATTTATTATATCTAGATATACTTTCATTCATTAAGTTCCTAAAAAACATATATTGTTGCTTGATTTACTATTGATTGTTGCATTAAATTATATTTTTATGTCTCCATTTTCTATTTTAAGCTCTGTAATGGGTTCTGGATAAATTTTTTACTATAGAGAGACACTTTCATAAAGTTAAACGATGAACGAACTGCATTTGTCAAATTATGTGCCTAAAACTTATTATAGATGTCTTGTTCCAATCTAGTTTTGTTTCTCCATTTCCACACATGATCAAAAATAATAAAAGTATATATCAATAATTCTTGTCCATTTATGTTATTGTTATTATCTTGCTTCTGCAAATTAAATGGAAATAATGAGAACTCCAATAATGTTGAAAGTTAAGAACATCAATTTTAAGACCCTATTTAGAGCTTAGCCAAAGAGCTTCCATAACATGAAAATTTAGGAATAGATCTTCATAAGTTTCATAAAGTCGACTCATAAAATAGATAGATATTACTATTTAGGTCTTTTGATAATCATAAAATACTATAGTTTAGGAGTCTTGACCAAGAAATTTTTGCGTTTCTCCATTATGTGAGCTTTCTAGAGTTATTTCAAGAGGGTTTGCTTAAGTCCTTCTATATTTTGTTTGAGATGGTTGATAAGAGAGTCTATCGACTGACTTTAATACTTTATGTTCTACTATATTATAGGGATCTATATCCATTTATCCTTATGTTGAGTAAGGGATAATCAAATTTTTAGAACTTCCAATATAGTTATTATATGAAAGATTTCCTTAGTTCTCTTATATCCATGGCATGATGCTTTGATCAATTAGTTGGTTTACTAATATATACTCTATGTAACGACCCCGAAAATTAAAAAGGAATGTACATAAAAATTTTAAGTGCGGAAGCGAAATAAAAGATTATGGTTAACATCTCTTACACATAGCCAAAACGTACTAACATATGAAGATAAGTTAGCTAACGAAATACTATA